CTAAATACACTTCTGTACACGCGTATATGTACTCGTACATGCGGACATAGTATTATTATATCATTTATATCCTAATTCTCAATTCCGGTAATTATACTGACATTGGTATTTACTGAATACGTGTTCACGTATTTATTGGCACATATATTTTGGCGTACGTGTCCAAGAAAACATTATTTTATACCCGACAGCAATGTATTTAGTAGAATAACACATAATTTTTTCAATAATTAATAATAGTATAATACATTACCAGATAACCGGGAAATAACATTCAGTTATAGATACCTGTATTAATTTAGTCAGATAATAATTTTCATCAAAACCATTTCAATGACATGCTGTCCTAATTTTTTGTCCAAATGTAATTTTCTATGTTTTTTAGACAAGTGACATGGATACCATAGTTGACATTAATTGGACACGTAGATATTATAGAAAAAGATTTATCATCAAAAAAAGAATACAATATTAACCCTGTTTAAACTGTAACGTCCGTTTTTTAATACTTATTTATTTTCACAATCATATTAAAGTTCACCATTTTTATGTTGTATCAACACGTGTTTGTAATTTTGATATAATTAACTATATTAATAATATACTATTTTATTATATTCTATGTTTTTTTTCGGATTTTTCGATTTTACTGACTAGTGTGTACTTATTTATAAATGACATCGCAATAATCTTGTCTTTTTAATGATAAGCCTCGTACCTCTTATTTGCGCATGACATACATTTTTTGTTTTACTCATTTATTAATTATATTGAGAATCAGACATAAAATTGTTATTACTTATATAGTAACTTACAAATTATTTATTTGTTATACACATGCAATTGTACTAAACAAGCAGAAATATAAATTTCTAATAATACAGACAATACAGTAAATAATAAAAATAATATTTTATTATTTAAAATTCATAATCTATTCATTTAAATACACTAATAATAAAAACATAATTTAAAGATTTATTTTTAATTCAAATATATAATTGTTTTCAAAGTTGAAAAAAAAATTAGTAAAAATCATAATAACACAACCTCATCCCTTAAACCATACATTGATTACGACTTGAACCATAAATTCATTTGTATAATATTATCCAAAAATCTAAATGCTTAAAAGTTATTTTTAGTTAAAATATGCAAATGACTAAGTAACCACTATATATTGTTGTGCATTCATATGATATTATAATAAATATTTTTTACATAATTATTTAAATATTTTCATTGAAATTGTGCATTTTCATTATTGGATTACTTATTATTACATTTTTAAGTTATAAAAACTTATGATTTGAATTTAAATATAATTTTATATAGGTACTTCTATATAACTATCTTATGTAAATCGCAAATTTATGAGTACCATATTTTAGAATACTGTCATTTAATATTGTAAACTGCGGCCATAAAAATGTATTAAGCTCGTAATTTGTTTTATTATATCTCAAATAGATATCTTTAAATTATTATAGCTTAAAACTCAGACAGAATATCATAGTTAATATGTTTTTAAAAATAAAACGCTTTTCTATTGCTTTTTTAACATAAAATTCAATTCCACATATTATATTTGCATAATTTATTGGAATACGAATTCGGTTTGAATGTTAAAAACACAAAAAAGTAGTAATGCAACTATCACTCTTTGTTAAAAACGTTGCAGATGACTAAATTTATTTAAAATATGTTTAGAACATTTATTTTATATTATTGTATATTTAATACAATATTTATAATAATATTACAACATCATGTATAGGTTTTCATATTACAATAAAATTTTCGTAATTAAAGAAATAACCAACATAAAAAAAATTAAATCTTTCTTGTGTATAAATATATATATATTTATATAAGTACCTAATTACTCTAGTATATTGTGTATTCAATACGCACTGTCTATACTATAACATAATTGTTGAGTAAAATTTAAAACATATTGCTTCAAAAAAATTATTTTTAATAATTAATATTCAAAAATATATAGTTTTCTATTACAAATTATTTATAAAGATTAAAAAAAATTGAATGATTTAAACAAAAATAATATAATATAGGTATATACTATATAGGTTATATATATGGCTGATATGATTTTATTAGATAGCTGGAGTAGATTTTCGTTTATATATATCTATATAATTTTGTACTCTCTCTGTGTATAGTAGAACCTTTTTTTAAAACTTGACCGGTAAAACAAAATTTTCTCGATTTTCTCTTTTTAAATTTTGATGTTTCAGAACGTGTTTTTAATCACCTTGCTTTTCAACTTTTTCATTATAACAATAATATATTATATGATATTCTTTAGCTCGATGATCTTTTATACCAAGCTGTCGTCGCCATACATTTTTGCGTGGTCATACACATCAAAATTTTCGTGATATTTAAAACTAAATAATAATATGATTATGGTTTAGTGTCACCCAGATCAATGTATATCCGCATATAATAATATATAATGACGACTATTTTATTTATGTACATACATATATAAATTATCATATAGGTTCTCGGATTAAGGTCATTGCAGGGAGTTTATATTAATAAACCTTTATCTATTATAAATAAGCAAATTTCCATTTATGAAAATCAGTTCATTGATCACCCGTCGTTTTATGACGGTTTCACGCAAATTATCTAGAAATCTGTGAATAAGTCGTTTTAATCGAATTTTGTGTTTTATTTATTAATATTGTTGTTCCTATTTCTGACATTGTTTATTATTAAATTCTTAGTGCAGGGCTTGTCTCACGGGTTAAACTGGTCGCATGCGCCTAAAAGATACATTATAATAAAAAAAAAATGAAAATTTACCGTTACACAACAAACATCTCCCCGTTGTTCTTAACATTACAACTACATCATAATAAAAACTAACAAACCCGCTTTTACACGGCATCTTGTATGACCACTGTCGACCAACTGCGCACGGGCTGGTCGAATCTCGCGGCCAACTACTTACCTACTCCGAAATGGTACATGCTACACATTGAACATATTTTTATTATTATATACATTAACATTTTTTAAACACTCAATTACTATGTATAATCTATTTTACTATGACCTAGTCTATTTTGCAATATGGTATAACAGTCTTGGGGTGGTTTGAGTCTGGTAACCATGGTAGCAAATAATAAAACACTAATAAAGTAATTAAAATAATTTTAAACAAACTCATCACAATCATAACATATTCAACTAATGGACTATTTGAAGGATTTAAAGTTTTCTCTGTTTAAATAATATTAATAAAAATTTCTTGTTAAAAATAAATATAATTTAGGTATTCTTACTATTAGAACGTTAAAATCAAGTCGATGTTTTCCACTTGATAGTAAAATATTAAAATTCTTAAATGGACTTCCAATTTAAAATAATCTTATATTGAATAAAAACAACCTATTAAAAAATGGTTAATTATTAATCTATCTAATTTAAAATTTGTATAGCATTTAATGTCAACCTGGTTGTTTATAGTTATTGCTATCTAATTTATATTATTATATTATATTTCATGTATACCTATATGTTTTTATTATTTTATCCATTATGGCTGTTTTTTAAACTTAACGTTTTTTACTTTATCTTGAAATAATGTATTAAAAATTAATTTGGAAAAAATATTTAATTTATTTTAATAAGTACACAAACTTTGCCGACTGGGTAATATCTTCAGTGGTGAGTTGAACTATTATATTGTATTTATTAATGTAATGATTTCCGGCCGATTTAATAATATTCTTTCATATAATATACTCTATACTCCAATTGTATTTGATGGACCACAAATAATTTGTCTGAGATGTATTTTGGGAGTAAATGTGAGAAAGATAAAATAGTGAACAGAAGAGAGAAAAAAAGTATCTACAGCAATTTTGTGTCAGTAACACGACGTAGCGGCTCCCAGAACGACTTTTCGTAGTCATATCCGCCGATAAGAATCTCTGCAGCAAAAATAACAGTGTCTAGCCGGAAGTCGAAATTAGTATAATGTAATGTGTCGACACTTATTATTTTATCGTAATGCGAGTATAAATTATAATAATGTGAAATTACTATTAACCACCCACTAACCCGGTTAGGTTAACAATAAATTATTATATTTTAGTCGTACACGAAAGAAGTGTTATATTATCCAAATAATATAACGGATCTTTCTGTGAGCATTTTATTTTACTCAAGATGATTCACATAAAATATTTCAAGCACGTAATTATTATTTAATAAGAATCACTAATTGGTGGTCTGTTTCTCAATGTTTAGACAACAACAAAAACAACAACACAAAACTACTTACTATTAAAAACGCAGCCAAATGTTTTCCGACATAATTTGAATTGCTTTTTTTCAAACAGAAAATGTTAAAACTAATATTATATTATGTTTATTGTAGAAATAGTGGTTTTGTTTTAAAGCGGTGTCTAATAGCTATTATACGAGTTATCTATAATTAAATCATTATTATTGACGAAGACTATCACAAACGTCTTTGAAAGTAATTATTATTGTTATCCAAGATACCTATAACAACAACGACAAAAATAATAATTATATGGTCTTTTGCCATCCAATATTAAATAATAAATACTCATAATGAAAAAAAAATCATATAATCCAACAATAAAAGTAAAATCAGGCCACTCGAAGAAGATTCGGAAGCAAATATAAAAAATCGATTAGACAGCTATTATGTATAAGCATCGGCATTATAACGATAAACGGACAATGGAATTATAGAAAATACTATGATCACTAAACACCGCGTGTGATTTAGGAGATGGTAAGGATTTGTGGATACAGTGAAAGGTGGTCGGGTAGTCTGTGGTCATAGTGCTTTTGAGTCTCGGACTATCTGCATGTATGTGAACACATCCTCTTAACATAACTATAAATAGTATCATTATGTTTTTCCAGGTAAATCATTCGTTTATGTTTATAGCGCATTTTTTTTCATACTGTGTGTTACGATTTTCCAGGTGTTGTTGTTCTGTCTTATTGCGTATGGAAACGGTAGACCGTCGGACAGCGATGAACGCGATGAAATCTTAAGAGAAGCAAAAAAGGAAAAACACTTCCAACAGTAAGTAAAGACATTTGTTTTGTGTTTCTCGGCAGCGATACATCAATTAATGTATATAATAATTAATCATATTATACTATCAACAACACTACACTTTAACAAATTATAAACATTAAACATTGTACAAATATGGGTTTAACACTATATTAATGCATTTGATAACTGCAACTGACTTATAAGATAATATTTTACACTAAATACTGACTGACAAAAGTTTTAAATTTAAAATCCTTAAACACTCAATGAATTAATTAACTTGTATATTATATTTTACTAAACACACGTTAGCAGTGCACAATTTCGGTGGTTTTTCTTGTTTTCTACGGTTATAGTGCTTTATGCAAAATTATGGCAATGGATCGGTCAATATATTCAATGCGTGTAACATAATATATAGAAGGTAAGCTTATTTTCAAACAAATTTTTTTATCATTATTTTTGTGCTATAAAATATGTTTCTATTACGCTTTTTTTCCCTCCGCTCAAATAATTTATTACATTTTTTTTTTTTTATATACAAATAATATAAATAATCAAAAAATATCCCCAAAAATGTAATAATTTGCTAAAAATTTTAAACATTTTTTGATATAAAATATCGAAGAAAAATGTGTAAATTATTTTTTTTTTCAAAAATGCATTATTTATTTTTTGGTGAGAGATTAAAAAACTAGTTTCTTTTTCACTGTTTTCTTAATTTTTTTTCTCTTATAAACCACGAGTGATTTAATCACAATTTTGTGTATTTTAGTGATAGCATAGACGAAATACCTCAACATCAAACGGAATCTTCGACAGCAGCGGAAAATATATTGAATCGATTGAAATCGATAGCACACCTGCGAATGTCCGAGATGAAAAAACCGGCATTGGATTCTGTGACTAGAGAAGAGTTGGAAGCGCTGAGGGATCTTTTAGACAAAAACCTTCAAAAGTACCAGAACTACAATGAGTTCACGACGAGAAAACGTCCAAGCGACCCGTACATAGGTCAGATACTCCAGAACCTGAACGGAGAATCGCAATCAACCGGCGGCGGAAATAACAACATGCAGGAACACTACCACTACAATCACAACAACAACAACAACGAAGGCGACATGGCCGAACAGCTGTCGCCGGAACGCCATCAGTTGCCCATCAGGCGCAAGATTATCAGACACACGGTGTTTGCGACACCAATGCAGGGCAGCAACGCGGGCGCTCCGAACAGGATATATAACGGCGGTGACGCCAGGATCGATTGGACTTCGCCTTGGGCCGATTACTTCCCAATATTGATCAAAGACCCGCTGCAGACGATGATGAACTCGTTTTCCGAGATCATTGAGTACGGTCCGGCCGCTGATATTTGCAGGCACGCGACGAACAACGGTGACGCCGCCACTGCAGTAACCGGCGAGGACGTGAACCGGCTGGACGGCAAAGGATCGTCGTCCCGGACCGATAGGAGGACTTCCGACGGCGGTACGGTTTCCACTGTTGTGCGGGAAACGCGAAGACGGTCACGCCGGAACGCGGCTGTCCGGTCGGAAGAGGAAAAGGGAGCGCTGCTGAACCACGTGCGGCCGTTCAAGTCGACGACCACGACGACGGCGGACCCGACGAAGATGTTTCCCTGGTCACCGGACAAGCAGGCCACCGAGCACAACGGCGACACGGGCCCGCAGATCAAGCGGCTGGTGGTCCGTCGCGGCGGCGTGGCCATCGCGGGCCCGGGCGGCATAGCCACCGCCGGATCTGGCGGTACGGCGATTGTGGGCGCCGGCGGGTCGGCGTACAGCACCAAGCACACCGCGGCCGGCGCTTCCGCGGACGCTCCGATGCCGCCGGCCGGTGGAATTTCGATGGCCGGCTACGGGCCGCAGGTGGTGAACACGCCGACCGGCTATTACGCGCCGTACCCACCGCAGGCCAACGGTTTCGCACGGAGCGTGGACGCTGGCGCTGGCGGCACGGCCGTGCTGTCCACGGACGGTGTAGCTTACACGTTCCCCGCGCCGTCCCGTGGACTGACCGCGGCCCGGCGTACGCGCGGCGGGGACGGGCTCCGCGAGATCTCGCTTCCGGACGGCGCCAAGCTGATAGCCACCGGACCGATAGTGTACTACAACCCGGAACCGTCGGTCCGGAAGAGGTCACGCAAAGGCAAAAAGTCCGCGACCCGCGGGACCGCCAGTGCCGGGAAACACGACGACCGCAAGTTTTAACGACGCCCCGCCCCCGCCTAACGTTTATCCGTTTGTTCCTCTGCAACAACACAAGACTGTCGTGATATATATATTTTGCACAATATGATGATATTATTATGAAAGCTCTATATATTAGCGTACCTATAATGACACATAATATTATTATAAGTATATTATATAGGCTTAGCGTATTTATAGTAATATTTTAGTAAAGCTCGTTTAAGTAGTACCTTTAACAATAATCATTATTATTCATCATATATTTACGTATAAATATATTATATCCTGTGGTAGTTCCGTAATATTTACACGTATAACGAATAAGTTATATATATATAAATTGACATGTAATTCTTCTCTTAATTATTTCTGTATACTCTTATTTTATCGAATAAATAAGTTGAATGCTGTATTATCGTATTTTGTGTTGTAAGATCGTATAACTTTACGAGTAAAATATACGCGCTTAACTTTATTCATAATATTATATTATATAACCTCTAAAATATTGCAATATTAATAACATTTTTCAAATTTCTTTTTAAATTTTTACTAATAATATTTAACTATGAACACAATGTGTACCTAACTACTTATTTTTAATGTTTTGCACGTTAATACGTAAACACCATTAGTTATTACTTGATTTACAGATATATATTATATGTAACATCGAACGTTTACATATATTATTCAATTTTATTGTATAAATATAACCTACTTAAAATGAAGGATACATTTTTAATTTTAAATTTAATTTAGTTTTATATAGTTATAAATTATAATTATGTTTTATTTAATAACATCATTAAAATATTATTACTAAAATATATAATGCGACACAACCATTTTGATTAATTTTTAAATGGTATTTAAAATACTTAAATTCGAGTTTACAATAATTTTAGGTATGTTAAAATTTGTTTTTATATAAATTTAAAAGAATTGTATGTTTTACATTTTACTCGATGGCTTTGGTTTAGAACATTATTTCAGGTGTAACGAATCAGTAGATTCTTGAATTGATAGCTAATCGAGTTGACAGACTTAACGAAGTATGATCTTATACTATCATTATAAAATATTAGTATTTCATATATTTGGAAGGTATTTTATACTATTGGTTAGTTAGCAAGTAAATATAATAATGCGTTACAATGTAAGTAATATCTTAATAAATAAACCAAAAATTATATACTAATAAAATCAGATATGTGCTGTTCCATGTTAATAATTGTTTTAACCTAAGGAGGTACCATATATGAAATCGGTGACAGGTTGTTACTATATGATCATAAAGCTAAAAAACTGTGTGACTGTTTCTACATATAAAAAAAAAAAACTACAATTACAAAAATAACAGCAAAAACAACAACAACAAGATACCTACTAACCTAAAAACAACAAGTGACTAAATCGAGAAACCAGGTATACTGTGATTGAAAAAGTTTAATGTTAAAACATTAGATACGTTGTGTTATAGTACTCGTAGCATAGATATTTACAAGTATATTCCATTTATTGATTTGTTATTGACGGGCAATAAACTTTTCATAAGCTGTATTATTCCGTTATATTATACTAACGAGTGCATTGCTCATTGAACAACAATCTTATGAGGTTCCATTTATAAACACAATTGTGCTCAATATACTACAATGTTTTAGGATTAAAAAAAAATGATTATTTATTTAAACATTCACATATTGATAATGCGTGTTATATAAATTAATATATGATAAAATAATGAAAGGATATGTATATAAATATAAGTAATAATATAAGCCACCTTAAAGCTAAAATGTTATAATACACATATATTTATATTTTTTTCTGTTGTTATAATGTGGTCAAAGAATAATCAAGAATTCAATATCCCCTTTTTTAAAAAAAAAAGCAAAACATGACACTGTGTTGAACGATATTAGATTTGAATAACACACATAACCACCATATTATAGAATGTTTATAAAAAAGTGTTTAATTTTGCGGTGCATTTATTATTCGTCTAAAATGTGTGCGTTTTGTTTTTTTGCTTTTGTGTGTTAATTTGTTCGTAATGTTATAATCTACATGAAAATGTCTGCGTAAAAACTAGTTATTTATTCATCCGCGAATATTTTAATTCAGAGCAGCCAACATAATATTATCGTTTAAATCGCGAACGAACACGTTTTTGATTGTTAACCGCCACAAAATTCAACAAAATGTTTTTTTCGTTTTACCGAGAAAACCATTAGATATTAAAATATATACCTACGGTATTCCAATACTGCCTAATGGTTTACCGGCGCTCGAACGTCAACAACAAACAAACAAAAACAAATAATACGTAAAATCGACGGCACCTTACAGACAAATATTGTACTACATATATCTTCGTCATCAGGGCCAAACGCCTAAACCTAACCGTGGTTATTGTATGCGCAGGTATCGGCTGCCGTACTGGGCATTCGTGCCGACGTTAGGCGTTTGGCCCGGAGCCGCCGGGACCGGAACCGGAACTGGATCAACAGCAACCGTCGCAGCTGCAGTCCCGCCACCGTCCAGAGGATCCGTAGCCGTGAACTTAGACAGTGGCCGAGTGTCCGTGGTAGACAGTGTGACAAATGGACCGGAAGTCGAGGATACGACCACCGACCTACCACAAAAACGACGACCGGCACTGGTCAAGCCACTGCACCCGAATACGCCGAGTGTCGGAGGACCGAGTTGGCTGAGAAAAACAACAGTGGCATCGACATCAAGTCCGGTCATACAAGCAGCACAAGTGAAAGACTCCACAGCCGTTTCCGCTGCGAGTCCGGTGACTAAGATATACCTGAAACCATCAGCCAGGGCAAAGGCCGGCATTGGTGGGGTGGCCCTGTCCAACCCGATCAGCACGGCAGTGGTTCGAAGGGGTGACACGGTCAGCATTGAATATCTTCCAGACGCCACTGCAGAAGCTGGCGAAGGTGGTGTTGCCATATCCCGACCGGAATTGGTCATCCATTTTATTGACTGAAATAATACGCACCCGCTAAAAATCGATGACGTCGCCATAATACCATTAGGTCTATAAATTGTGCCATACACTTGCGTTATGATATATGTTTTAATATATTTACATTTACGTACTTACTTTACCTCTACTTAATATATAGTATAAAATTTATAATAATTTTATATTTTAATAGCATCTTATTTTTTTTTTTTTTTATCAATATTCGATTTAATTTTTTTTCTTATTATTTCTATTTTTAACATTAAGTACTATATAAGTTTGTATAAATCTGATTATTTCAAACATTTTAATGTTTATGTTAGTGACTTCAATTTAAGGCCCTAGAATATTTTTCTAATGATTATTTAGTAAATCATTTATTTTCTTACGTTTTTGTATCGTCGGCATTGTTGTAATGCGTTTTATAATGAGTTAAATTCCATATATGTTGAGGGATTTTCTTTAGCCGATAAGGAACTGTACGTAGCTATTTATATCCAAATTCTTAATTTATTTTACTGACTTGTCTTTTCTATTTTTATCATTAGTGGTCCACTTGTCTGTTGTACTTTTTATTCCATTTAGTTTTTTATTAAATACTTTATTAACCAATAAGTATGCATACTTGAGCATCGTGTTTTTAAATTTTCGTTTTCAAAATAAAGATTAACAAAAAATGAAAACAAACTGTGAAAAATGATAATCACATTAGTAAATAATGTGTTTATTTTTATAGTTTGTATACGAATTAACCTATAATTATTTATTTATGGTATATAATTGCTTGTTATAGTAAAATGTGAAATTCCAAACTACCACGTCTTTACGTTATCTAATCTATTATTGAAAACAGATTTTATTTTTGTTATAACTTATTTGTATACAGTACAATAAATAAAAACGGAATTAAAATAATGAAAAAAAGACACACTTGATAGTTTTATAAATAACAGTTTACGATATTATTCATAAAACTTAATGCACGTATTAAAATTTAATACAGTTACCTATCATTTTCTCTAAATATGTATTTTATATTTAATACACTAAGAATAGTTAGTATACACTTACAAACCATACTTGTTTCAATTATTCACAAAAACTGGTTTTACAATTTTACCGTATTTAAAACATTTCATAACACTTAAGACTTAAGCACATAATGTAATTTAAGTCATTCATTAGAAATATTAGAAAGTTTTGAGTATGTGAACTAATACATTGCACCAGGCAATACTCTGTTGGTAGCATTTTCTTGTTGTATGGCATATTTGTAGTAATTAATTAATAATTATATTCTAAATAATTGATAAAACAAATACCATTATTTTATTATTTTTATAAAAATATTCTATATTATATTGATACGAAATAAAAAGTATTATAGTTGACAAAAATAATAGTTGGTTGTATTAAACAAAACTTATCTGTCTCTCAAATTATGATTGTTTTTAATGGTTATTACACCAATATATAAGAAACCTTGACACTCAAAATTATGTCTTCATTAATAGTTTCTATACATAGAATACTAAATAAGTCAATTGTTCTTTATTCAATTACATTTTCTAAGTACTTTTAAACTGCAGTGTGAATTTGGATACAAAATTATAAATATTCTTCATAAAACTTATAGTATTATAAATAAACTGTGATGTATTTCAGTATTTGCACTATTTAAATTAATCAATAATCAATATTAGCAATATAATTATAATGACTAATTTAAAAATAAGTAAATTATATTCATAACAATCATAACATACGAGATACGTAATATTTTTGCGCGTGTTTTATTTTTTTCGTGGTTTGTTTACATTGAAAATTAAAATATAAAAATAATAAATAATAATATTTTTAGTCCAGTACATAATAATATTACGAAACTAAGGTAACTTTATATTCTTCATGATTTTTTTATAACCAAGCATAACATAAAAAATATATTTATATTGATTGACAAGATGAGCGTAATAAACTATATTGATAATATGTGTTTTTCGTTATTTCGATATATTTATGATACACGTTCAATAAAATAAAATACACATTGTTGTCATGTTTGTTTCAAGGTTATTCGTGAGTTTTGCATAATTAGTTTTCTTTCATGATTACGATAAAATTTATTTTGCCGATCACTTCATTTGATTTAAATTATCGTTGTAGTGCAGTTAAATTACTCGTAGAGTTCAGTATACCGCGATAATTTTACTTGTCTTTTAGTGTTTTTCATTGTATTAAAATATTTTATGCATAGTTGATTTTTTTTTTTTTGGATTTTTTAACAAAAATAATACAAAAGTCCATGATATGCAGTAAAACTGAACCGACCTGACCCTATATATAAGTAGTTACCGAACATATAAAACAAGTGCACGTATTGCATATGTAAAGTAAAAGAAAACAACTAAGGATGATCATAGCAAAATTAATACAATTTGTATTATAGTAATACAGAATAGACGAACAGTTTTTCAAGAAAAAAAACTACTGACTAACTTTAAATGAATAAAATAATTTGTACCGGTGGAATTAGATAATTTTTCCAAATGTACTGATTTAATTTATTTTAATGTTTTAGTGCAATGCATTATTAATAACCACGACAATTATTACTACGAGTACAGTAAAACCTCGATTATCATCCGTCCTTTTCGGTTAATCGTCGGGCGCTACACTTACACGGACTACTTGCGCATTAAAGTAAAATCTTATTATCTTGTGTATAAGTAGATTTTCTCTGAAACTTTCCGGAAATATCTACTAAATAAGTGATATGTACATTGTACATATTATGTACCTATATATGAATTAAAAAATAATAATAAAAATAATAATAATGTACCAATTTTGTACCTAATCATATCAATATGCATGTCATAATTATTAAAAAAATAATAAATAATATTATGTATGTATGTTGCTCGCTTAACCGTCTTTTCGATTATCTGTTAAAGCTCTAGTTTCGAGACTGTTAATCAAGGTTTTATCGTATGTTGTTATTAAATAATAAATATAGATACCTACTGTAAGTAAGACCCTTACAATTCAGAGTATCTGCAACACAACAAACATTTCAATCGCATTACAATTTATATTACATGCTTTGTATAATTTAATACCATGTACTATTATACTATTAACCTGTCTCACTCGTCGTATTTTAGGCCTCATTTATTGTAGTAGGCACGGATAGGTTGCTATCTACTAGATATATGTACGTTCTATAATTATAATGTTTTATTTATGGTTATTTAATATATTATTTTACTTTTAAATCAATAAAACATGTTATGATCTTTCGACATTAATAAACAACCATTTGATATAAAGTAGGTTTTAAAAGCTCTCTTCAATAACTAATATATTTAGATTAATCGGTGAATATTTAATATAAATGAAAAAATATATTACAAATTCAAAAGCGTATAATAATTTATAAAGACTGAAAATATACTTTACATGATAATATTATATTTATATTGACACAAAATAGTTAAATAACTTAATGAGTTGTAAATATTTGTAACTAAATAATGTACAAAAGTATACTTACAGCTGAGATTATATTATAAAAAATAATTTTCAAAAGTAAATCACTGTGTAAGTATACCACACACATGTTAAAATGCCATTATTTAATATGTATTGACAGTTGACACTGATACAATTATCATTACTATTATATATTATTAAATTAGTCATATTAGAAACGATTAACTACGAAATTATAAAAATGTATAGTATCCCATTAACAGATTATAACTTATTATTGTCTTGCTATTAATTATTTGTCTCTGCATTAAAGGTTAGTTATTTTAAATATTAAATTACAACAAATTTTGTTAAATTAATTTAAACAATTGTACCGAGTTAGGTTAAATAGTCAATATTTTATTTAAAAAAAAAAATGCTTTCTTACATACAACCTTTTTTTACAATTTTCTCGAAAACGATAATTTAAAAATAATCTTTTTAAAATTATAATATACAATCTATCATTCGATATCCAATGTATGATATAGTATTTCGTGAAAATGTAAACGACTTTCTACTTGATCCTATCACCTTATATTAAATAGAAGAGAATCCTTAAATAATTATGTAATTATTTAAATTCTAACCTTAAGAGTTTTTAAATATTTTTTAAAACTATGTTTTTAAATACTTAAAATTGTATACCATTGAAGATGAATGTTGTGAGGTGGCAGTATACATTTTTTTTTTTTTTTAACCAGAATGACCTCTCTTCCTAAAAAAATTTCTGAAAATGTTAGTGCATTTAATTATTTAAACAAATTTTTCTGGATTATTAAACTTCATTTACTTAGAATAATAGTCGTTGATTATAATCTAAAGTTTATATAAAATAGACACTGTAGAACGCTTTTTAATAGCATACGGATAAAACGGGTAAACTTAAATATTCAAAAAATTATAGTTAATATAATAAATTATATAGTAAGGAAATTTTTAAAGCATATTATTGGATAACCTAGTAGGTATGACGCCAATGACTGAAACAACAAATAACGCAAGTTCGTCTGCACTCTACACACTACTGCACATTCCGCACTTTGTACATTAAATTATTATAATAATATATTAAGACAATATTTTCATTATACTAATTTGCCATCTACAACATTATAATATCATAGCGGCGTGACCTAAAATGTAGAACGTCATCATATTGTCACGAACATCCACGTTTCGGCGGCTAACCAGATGCGTTTTGACTGGTCGCCAAAACTACGTTGGCCCATTTCGCTGAACCGTGCCTTTAATATATTATTATTGTTGTTATGTAGTCGAAGAACAGTTATTTGATTACCTTCTTCTCTTCTCCTATACCTATGTCGACGAAACACGCGATTTGAATTAATGTCGTTTTGCCGCCTGCAGAGGAACCTACGAACGAATATCATATACGACTACACCTATTTATCTACATCATTTTAGGTGCGCGAAAATTTAATTTTACTAAATTTAAGCCACCACTCCGGGCCAAATCGTGTAGCGTGTAGCGTTATAATATTGTGTACGAACAAGAGATCAATGACAACAATAATTATCGCTTTAATCGGTGTACTAGCTTTAGGTATTATCTTGCTGAGCATACTACGATAATTACACAACATACCTAGTCACTGCAACTCACTGGTTAGTCGGTAC